GTATGAAAAACTCTATTTTTCCAGAAACCTAAGGACGAACTACAGTAAGGAGACTTACCAGGTTGGATTTAATTTCTGTTCGGTCCAAAATGAAGATCACAACTGGACGAACACTCCTACGGTGCTGAAATCGTGATTGGAGAAGAGATATAAGTTTTTACAGTAAAAAGGAAGTTCACTGGTTCAAGAGAGAAGTTGGAGAATATGAAAGGGTGAGTTTCAGAGGTTGAAGATGAGTTCGTGTAAGTGAAAGTGTGTTTTCGAAAAGTCTGATTTTGTTAAACTAACGTTAAATTGGAAGAACGTGTCACAGGTTGCCACATGCACACCAAACTCTGATTTGGAATTCTCTCAAGTGACACGTGGTGTGCTTGCATGCAAAGATTGGTGCATTTTTAATGAAGCAGAGAAATGATGGTGGCTTAAATTTTCGTGCACAGCAGAGGTGAAAATCAGAATTGGGAGTGGGTTTTAAATGGCTGGGAATGAGGTGGCAAGCATTAAGGGTGAGGTGTCAGGATCAACTTAAGCTAATTATTACGGATCTCACAATTAATCTTTAACATTAACCATCAACTTACTTACATATTACTAAATTTTAAATTAGAGTCTAATTTAATAATAAAGATAAATTATTATTAACTTATTTTCTTTGAATCATGATTGAACGTTGAATCAAATTTTGGCACGAAAGGTTGCATATATCTCCCCGTACATAATACATAGAAACAGAGTGATAAACAAAATATTGATAACTAAATCTTATTAATAAATAGCTAAAATTAAAACACATGTATAGTTTGAAATATTTAAATCCTAACTCTGTGTGTGTGTATAATTTTGAAAGCTATAAAGTAAAATATGATATGTTAAATTTTATTTATGGAACATAGAAGAAATGATGAGAATGAACAGTGGCTATGATAGAAATATGATTGTTGGCTGCTATACAAATGAATTAGCCTTATTATCGTGTGCAAAACAATGTTGCATTATTTGGAAGTGTGTTTGGTGTATCTATGGGCATTGAGGGTTAACATCTCCTCTGTAGGACAATTGAACACTGTTGCATGAAGCTTTGGCCCCTTCTCCATCTTCACGTTCAAGCTCTACGTTCTGCAACACTATCCCTTTGCATGGAAACTTCTCGCTGCACTCAAATTGCACACCCACATCAGAAGCACTTGTGCCTTTTATGTTTTCGTATAACACATTCCTAATCTGAACTGCAGATTTCTGCAACAACATAACCTAAGAATTAGGTCAAAGTTGTAGTTTTTTTTTTCTTTAAGTTAAAGACTGAAATCACAGAAAACAAAATTCAAAACTAAGACATAAAATGCTTGCTTAAGGTACAATGTCATTTAAAATAATGATTCAAATTCACTCATGATTACATGAATGGGTGAAAAATGTTAGAGAATCTGAATTATTTACTTGTTTTTTGCATGGTGTGGCTTGATCACAGTAATTTTGATCTATTATTATGGGATTCGTTACTTTGTCCATTTCAATGTTCTGAAACTTGATGTTGCTTGCACTTCCTGAACCTCCCTGCATGCATGCACGTACATAATAAATTAACAAAAATATATATACATATATATATACTCACTACAGTAAAATGGTTCTTCAAATATCAAATTACCTGCCATGTTTTAATTCTTACTCCATTTGTAGTTCCAGAAAATTTAGCTCCGTTTACCATTACTCCTGAAACAAAATCCTTGGATTTCGCAGACCCTAAGCTTCCGATGCTGATATCATTATTGCAAAAGAAGTCACATTTTAATTAATCATTTCAATAAAGAGTTCTAGAAAAAAAAAATTACCCCATTCAAATTTGCTTGATAAGTTTTATAAAAAAGGTTATCAAAACTTCTTTTGTAATTCGTCTCAGTTATGGAATACAGAAGATCGATGATTATGTTGTTGAACGTACCTGATACCATGGCCTGGTCCGCAGGTTATTTTTGTGGCTAGCACATTCATGGATCCACTTTCTATTGATATACAATCATCACCTGCAAGAGTTGAAACCGAAAGAGATTTAGAAACTTAAAGAAATTCAATGCTTTATCAGTTTTATTATTTTGAAACATGTAGATTAAGAATACCAGTTCCTATAACTGTGTTCGAGATTTGTATGTTTTGAGTGTTTGTGATGTGAATTCCATCAGTGTTTGGGCTGTCTTCAGGTGCTGTCACGGTGAGACCAGAAGCAATAACATTCTTAGATTCTTCGAAGGACACATGCATCTGTTGGCCATTCTTTATTGTCAAATCCTCAACTGTTAAGTAGTTGCACTGGTAGAAAGTCAACGCCTGCAAAGATACAAAACAATTGTTATATTTGAAGGTTAATTGCACCAGGGAATTAATGGATCTTCTTCTGTCACATTCCACCTTTGATATATTATTTTTTTTTTCCTTCTAAACAATTCTGCAATTTTATATAATATTAAATTTTCTTTAATCATACAAATAATTTATTATTGGAAATAATAACTAATACTTTCCACAAAAATGTATATATAATACTAATAACAATAATGAGCTAGATATATATGGTACTAACTCTGATTTTATATATAAAATTGCTTTAATTGGCTACATTAAATTTATTATCTCCTAATGAGTTTTTCCTATCCTCATGAAAGAGAGAGGGTTGTCAAAGAAATTAAATTATCATAATTATTGTTTATTGACGAGAAAATGCAGAGTGTTTTTTTTTTTGTGAAAAAATATACGGTGATAAATAATTGTTTTAAAAAGGATTAATCAAATAATCTTTACGTAGACACCATTAATATTTCAATCAAAGAAGTTGTTGTATATATTTTAAAAAAGAAATTATATACACTTTCTTTATTTAAACTTGAACCCTTTAAAATATGTTTAAAAATAAAATCATAACATAACTCTAAATAATATCTCAAATATTTTAACACTTAAAATTTTGAACATGGAAGATCCATTCTCATAAATTTCAATCCAAATTGAGAGAGCAATACATACCGTAGGGGCCTTCTTGCAAGGCTGCAAATGGAAAAACACAGAAGAATAGTTAGCTTTTGAATATGATATATGAATCAAAGATAACAATATTGTAATATAATATCTTACAAGCTTAGGGTTCTTTTTGCATGAGTTTTGCCACCATATGTTTCCATTTCCATCGATGGTTCCACCACCATTAACTGATAGTTTCTGAACACTGTCGAACATAAGCCAGTGTGTGCGGTCTTCACTGTAATCTGATGGATTATCTGATGCTACAAGGGTTCCAGAGATCTGATTAAAAAAAGAAAAGAAAAAGAGATCATCGTACCTTATAATTAATCTATGTTACTCTGTTGCAGATATTATTTACATATATAATAATTGTAATGCTTTTAAGAATGTTTGGAACTGGAAATTTGAATCTGTGGCTTTCTAACCTGTACTGCGATGTTGGATTTGCAAGGGCCAGAAAATGTGATTGGCTTGAGTAGATAATTTTTCTGCGGCACCACAAAAACTGCTCCTGCATATGAACATGCTACTTCCCAAGCCTTCTTGAATGCCTGAAGCAACCAACCCATATAAGCCAAAAATAATACTTCAAATATTCACTTATATAAATCGTCACTAAATTTACAACATTATGTCTATCGTATACAAAACAAACATAAGAAAATGTACGATAACATCTTTTAAATAAATGATAATCTATAAGAGATAAACATAAAAGAGAATTTTACGTCCGAGTCTCACAAGTTTGAGATAAATTTACTTATATTGAAAAAACTTAATTTGTACTATCTAATTGTCCTAATTTCATTTCAAAAAATACATCTTTTCCTTAAACTTTATGTATAAAATTAAAAGAAAGTCGTTGAAAATAAAACTCCAATTAAATTATTTTGAAAGTAAGATATGCTTAATTGATATTACTAAATATTTGACTCAGACACAGTAAATTAATATCGTTTACCATCAGAAGATATTAATTAAATCACTAAGCACCAATTTGTTAGATGATAATTAAACTACTATATGCTACAATATTGTAATTTATCTTCTCCGTTATCATTAATAATAGAAAAAATATATATATTATCCTGACTTGGTCTCCACAGTTTTACCTTTTTTTTTTCAATCTTTTGAGTTGTTATGACATGCTATATCACTATTTTATTTCTAACCTTCCATATTAGTTACATTGATTGAAAAAACTCATCAACATATACATGTGCAAAACATGCAAAAAGACATATAATATGTTGTCATACTTACGAAGTTCGACAATAAATATATATTTTTTGGTGAAACTATATATTACGAAGTGTGAGTTTAGAACATGCATGTGAGAAGAATTTGTGAGGTGAGAATATTTACCAGAGTGTCATCACTTTTACCATCTCCTCGAGCTCCATAATCATTGACGTTAACCATTTTAAGGGAAGAAGAAATGTGACCCAATTTGCCAAAACTCTTAAAGTTGAAAACATTTGTACTCTGCATGATGAAGTTCTTGTCTTTAGGAGAACCCTCATGAAATAACCTAAGTGGGTCCTCTGGCACTGTGCTATGAGCAAAAGAAACCAACATGGCAACAAGAAACAAAAGGAGGTGGTGTTGTCTTGGGAGGGCCATTGTTTCTTCAATTTCCCTTTGTGTGAAAGTGAGAATAGATGGTATCTTGAATAATGGTGTTGAAAGAAGTTTCATGAAAATGGCTATGGCTGATATCCAAGTTGGTGAGGAATTGATTAGAAGTTTGTGTATTTATAGAGAAATAAATGGAGATGATTAGGTTTTTTTTCTTACATATAAGGATATGTTACGGTATGGGAAGCTAGGGTATGAGTGATTGAGACGAAAGAATCACTAGGGTTCGATGACTTTAATTTGCTCCATACATGCTTGTTTCCACAAAGTTTACCAATGTGTCAGTTCATTTATGTGATATGTATGTCTAATATGACCTAAATATTAATGATAAGTAAATATCATTACTACGTAACTACGTATATGTATCAATTAGCTCTAGACACAATTTTAAGTTGGTTTAATTAACTTGAAATTAAGGATTGAAATACTTGACCTAGTTTTCGATAGGCTTCTCATTCATATATAGGCTTTCTATGAATTTCATCAAGTACATGTTTAGAAATCTTCTTTATCTAGTAAAAAAAAATAGAAGAAATGATTTTTTTATAAATTAAAATTAATTTATGTGTACGATAATTGGAATAACAAGTCATAATTGTTTTAAGTTATTTTTTTTAGTTTACTTACGAATTAATATTGGAAAAAAGAAATATTGAGAGACTTCTTAAAGATACATTTACCACTTATGTTAGGATTGAGCTTTAAGTTTTTCCTCACGTACAAATTGAACTATATTATTTGAACTAAGTTACCTTCCATTTATATATGTGTTTTAGGTGCAA